GTGCGTATGAGTAACCTCGAAATATGTTGAATTATGATACTATCTGCATAATAAAGTGCAACGTTTTAAAATTAAATTTTTTACAAGAAGGAACATAATTAATTTATATTCATTTACTCAACGATAAAAATATCTGTGCGTTTGTGGCTGGTAAAACCTCAACCCTTTTAGTGATACTATCCACTGCAAACAGCAAAACTTAAAACATTTAAAAATTTAATATGCATTATTTTCAAACAAAGAAAATAGAAGGTTCTCTATAAAATCCCAAAAGCATCCTATGAAATGATTATTATTTTCACACGCAATTACTCCAACAGAAAGCCTGGCAGTTTTCTTTGTTTACTGTGGCTTTGACAAATTCATGATTGCACAGTAGGATTTAGAAGGCATGCTCAATTTAATTTTGAGTAACTTTAGAAAAAATTGTGATTTTATTGTACTTCGATTTATGTACCTTCCAATAGGAATTACATATAATACGTATACATGATAACGTTGTTTTTTAAAGTTCATACTTTAATATTAAAATTTGAAAACAGTACTTGAATATTCACATCATATATAACATGAATTAGGGTGCTACTATAAGAGATAGATTTTTTTACGACCTGAAATATTTTGATTTTCTTTGTAAAATCATATATAATATATGCATAGAATATTATCACATTAGCAACATCATATTATGTTCAAACAATGTCATATATGCGTAATAATACTGAACTCCACCCAGTTGACGTCAAAACCAAATCGTTAAGATCTGGGTAAAACTGCTAATGTAAATTATTTCTACTTTACTTACTTACTGTGTACATAAATATAATTAACTTAATTTGAAATTTTTATTAAAAAATATTATTTGCTTCTAAGCATTCTTTGCGAACATGTACTATAAACAACTTTCATCTGACCATTCCACATAAATAGACAAAGCAAGTTTTATTTTAGTCTATTCAAGCCAAAACTAAAATAGTTTCTTGTATACAATCATACCATTTTCCGACTTATGATGAAATGAAAAACAAAAGCAAGTAAATATTTTAATTAAAATTGTTTTGCAACCTCAACTACTTAAACTTTTAACATATTTTGTGATGTCAAAGGTTAGTATCTCATGTGGTTCATATACTAAGCCAAGTGTCACATTTAGCCTCACATATTTGTACTTAAGACGAATACGGAGATTACACACTTACTATTAGGAATAATTTTTGCCAAGAGAGAGAAAAGCTATTTTACTACAAACACAGAAATCGAAATGACTAACACAACCTATTTTTCAACTTTTCCCTTCTTGCTATCTTTTTTAGTTTCACCAATGCGGTATATTTGACAGAAACACTTCCGCTAACTCAGCGGATGAGGAAGCACACTTAGTTGTCGTTGTGGTTGCCGGCTGTGCACTGCTGTTATATTAGTTTCGTTGCCATTATTCGCTTTCCACAATCATTTAAATAAGATGCCACATAACAGTAGCTACAGAATCAACATATAACAACAATAACAAAGCCATTGTGTGCACTACACTACAACATGCCTAACAGTCATTTGAAATTGTCGTAAGAGCAGATTAAGGATAATAATCATCATAGGCAACGGTGTTTGTCGTATAGTATTTACTACTTTGGTACTATGTGAGCAGCTACAGAAACCTTCCCAACACCAGTGACAATAACAAAAACAACGCAAATTAAAATAAAATGTGCGCTATCAATGTCAAATGAGAAACCACAGCACCACAGCCTTTGGCGTGGGTGGATAATCTCAAAAAGCATATGCGTCTGTTACATAGACTGACTTTTAGGTTGTGACTATTAAGCCTTTGCGACATATCTCAGCTATTTTATTTTATATTTAGTTGTTAGATACGATAATAACCAGTAACTTGCTTAAAGCAAATGCTATATAGAATTGGCAAGATAGACACAGCTAAAGTTGAAGCTTTAAGTATAAGTTTTCAATGCAAAGCAAATATTTAAAATCAAAGTGATATAAAACTTTTACATATATTAATATAAGAAGATTCAACAAATTCTTGTTATTTAGTAATCATTTGATTTATTACTTCTAGACAAATTTTAAAGAAATTTATTTGATTCGTTATCATAGTTGGTGCGAAATAGTTTCACTTTATTAATCTATGCTCAGGTGCATAAAATATATGAATAATATAGCAAAAAATTTTACATTAATAGAAGCTATTGTCATCAGATTGCAAGTTAAATTGGTCATACTACTTGGACACCGTATAACTACATACCACTGACATACCATACTCAAAATACTCGCGACAATATGAACGATAGCAATTATCTTAAATAAAGATGCTTTTGCTAAATTACTAAACTTATTCCTAAATAAGATATTCCAATAAGATGTGAAATGTTGAACCAAAACATATTATTGGATTCGTCAATAAACATCAGTTGTCCGGGTTAGGTTAGACTACTTTTTTCATGGATGGCACAATAGATATTTTAGATAGCAAAGTACCTTTGTCTCTTCTACTAATATAATTATAAATGCCTCTGGTTGATTCTAGCTTGACCTCTCTACTACTCATTATTACGAGGTTTTATGTACTCAAAATGGCTTTTTTTAGTTAATTAAGGAGGAGTCGTACCTCCCTCTACCACAACTAACTAACTATTTAATATAATAACTAACTAATTAATAAAATTGTCAGTTGCATAACCACTTAATTGTCAAAAAATGTATGATAAAAAATAAATATTGTACTGAAAATTTAACAAAATATTTTCATTGAAAAATGTTTTTAACTTGAATTTATTTCTAAAGTTCCAATTTTAAGCCCAGAGACAAAATCAGCACGTACAAAATTGCAATAGATTTTACTTTACTGAATTCAGTTATTCACAATTCGTTCTTTTTCTGTATGAGTTACACTTTCATGGCATCACATCCGATTTGTATTGCCGCATGAAAATTTATCGCTATTTACATATTACGCCTTTGGCATTGCAACACAATTTTGCAATACCATTTTCATTTTCAGTTTTATTCGATTTGCTGCACTTCCTCCTTTTGCATTCTGATATGGAAAGCGATAAGTTATCAGTACTGCAGCGGCAACATATTGCAACAACCATTCGGGTAATAACAGCAAACCATATCAGCAAACGTTGAAAATATGTTTCTGCAAATATGCTAAGAAAACATGCAAGATACTTGTAAGAAAATGTTTCTCTATTTTTCTTTCTACCAATTTAACGTTTGAAGCCCTCGACAATGATTTTCGCTTCTGAGTGTCTATCAACAGAAGTGACTTTCGGCAGAA